GCAGCTAAAAGCCCGAGCACCCATGTAGGATTACAGGTCCTGAGAGCCATGCAGAGATTTTAAAATCTGGTCACAATTTCAAGTCTTCCTGTGTATCTTGATTGTTCTTCTGGGAATTCATTCATTCAGAGAAAGAAATGCCTATGTCTTTGGCGTATTTGTGTGTTTGTGTAGTTTTGCGCTCCTGAGGAAAATTAATTTACAAAACCAATATATCATATTGAAATTGATACTGTTTTGTCTTTGATTTCAAGCCTGGACACATACACCATTTATTTATCATTGTTTATTATCGTTTTTACAAGAAATGAAGGTGACAGCACCTGTGTCTCTGTTCTCTTCAACCTGGTAACCCTGTAGACTCTGGTGACTCAGTACGGCGGTGTGGAGGCGTTGATCCACGCCGTGCTTCGCGCCGGGGAGAAGGAGGATGTCGCTGAGCCAGCTGTCTGCGCCCTGCGTCACCTCACCTCCCGCCACCAGGACGCCGAACTGGCCCAGAATGCTGTGCGGCTGCACTATGGTATCCCAGCTGTTGTCAAGCTCCTGGGGCAGCCACACTACTGGCCTGTAGTAAAGGTGAGGGGAGGAACTGGTTTGTACTGGTATACTATTACCTTTTAATGGAAATGGCAATTGAACCAGCCACTGTGGGTTTGATGGACACGAAAGCCAATCAAAGAAAAAGGGAAAGGAGAAGGGAAAGGGAACAGAAAAAGAAATGGAATGAAATTAAGGGTGAGGCAATAAAAGGATAATGAAGGAAATGAAGGGCAAAGGAAAGGAAGGGAAAGGAAAGTAAAAAGAAACAGAAAGCAAAGCATGAGGAAAGAAAATGAAAAGGAAAGGAAATGAAGGGCAAGGAACTAAAAGGGAAGGAGGGGAAAGGGAAAGGGAAAGGGAAAGAAAATGAAAGCAAAGCAAAGCAAAAGAAAAAGAAAAAGGGGAAAGACAAGGACAGGAAAGGATGTCAGCTAGTCTGAAGGGAAGCGGTGATACAGAAGACTACTTCAGTTTTATAGCACTGTGCTGAGACAAAAATACAAGACATACACACACACACACACTTATGGAAAGAACAGCCAGAACAGCACCCACAGACAAGTAAACACACTTCATGACACACATCTCCCATCATGCTTCACTCCCAAAACACTTCAGCTGTGACAACACCCACTGGCGCGCTGTGTCTCTGGAGAGACAGACAGACCCACAGACAGATAGATAAAGAGACAGAGACACTGCGAGCCTCAGAGACAAAGCTGTGTTTTTCAGTGAGGAAGAGAGAGACTGAGCGACACAGACAGCAAGAGAGAGAGAGAGAGACGGGAGCTGGGTTTCAATCTGAGTAAATTGAAACCCAGCATGAATTGAAACCCAAATGAATAAATGAACCACACACTGACAATATAGTTATTTCTGGAGTGTTACTATGGAGCCTGGAGTGGGCCAACAGAATAATTATGGACTTAATATAACTATTATAATTACATTTGCATTATAAGAATTTAATTAATGTGTTGGTCGCATTCCTCAGCTATCCATCTCACAATTCAAAACCTGTTGATTGTTTGCTTTACTACCACTGTAGACAATGAAGTCACAGCAAATTTTCACAATTGAGAGGCTTTGAATTTTGGAATTTTTGTATCAACAAGTAAAAATTCTGCCATAGCTAAATGTTGAAGTACAATGCTCATTTTAGAATATTAGTATGTGAGATAAAATCATAAACTCAAACACAAAGTATAGCTGAGGCTGATGGGGATGTCATTACATTGGCAGGATGGGGCACATTTACCTGATGATGCAAACAGCTATTAGCTATGTAAAGATATAGTGGAGTCATGGTCTCATACTCCCTCTGCCTGTGTTGCTATCGCAGCTTTTCTGTGGTTTGTTTGTATAGCCAGTCTGGCCATGTGTGGGTATTAGTGCATGTGAGTCATTCCATTTGCGATTGAGTAATTAAGTGAATTAAGAGTTGGTGACTGTTGGAACAGTGGAAAGACAAACAGATGGTTTTGGTAAATTTCTGTCCACTTTGAATTAAGTTATGATGTTATGATGATATGCAAGGTAAAATTACAGTTTTGGTCTATGGATTCAGGTGGCAAGCTATATCGACATTACGTCTGTATTTGTAAAAATCCTTTCCATAGGAAATTTTTAGGCTTTTTTCTCATCTTACTCTATATATACACACACATACATACTTTAAGGACCAGTATGTAGTATTGTAGTATTTAGTAGCATCTAGCGGGTAGTTGCAGATTATACCCCTCACATCACTCTCCCCTGTAATGCATGTAAGAGAAACATAAAGGTCAAACCTAGAGCCAGCCTATGGTTTGTCCATTCTGGACTACTGTAGAAACATGGCAGACTCTGTAGAAGAGGACCTGCTCCCTCTGTAGATAAAACCCAACTCATTCTAAGGTAATAAATCTTATTTATCTTACTGATCAGGTCATTGTACGCAAATACAAACATACCTATGAATATTAGATTCCATTTCTGACAATACATCCTCCTAATTGTTACACACTGGACCTTTAATCTGAAGATTACAATACATTACATGTCTCGTAGTGCCTTTGTGTCAAGATTGTTGATTCAAATCAACAACTTTACTGGGTGGTTACTGTTGCTACAACAGGTACTTATATAGTGCCTTTCTATTCTTTCGACCACTCAATGCGCTGTACACTACATGCCAATTTACACACACCCATATTCATACACTGATGACAGTGGCTGCCATGCAAGGTGCCAACTGCTCACCAGAACAGAAACTAATCATTCATATACACTCATACATCAATGCATATCAGGAGAAATTTGGGGTTCAGTGTCTTGCTCAAGGACACTTGGACAAGAGTGAGAGAAGCCGAGGATCGAACTGCCAACCTTCTGATTAGTGGACGACCCGCTCTACCTCTGAGCCACAGCCACCCACTGTATACTATCATCTTGGATTTTGTACCTTACTGAATAATTTGACTTGCAGCTGTGGTTTTCAGTCAGCAATGGTCAAAGACAGATTTGGTGGACATTTTATCATTGCTTATTTGGTGGGTTTGACATGGTTTCTTTCTGCTGTGCAGGCCTCCACAAAGCGTAAATCAAAACTGGCCACCATGTGAATGAGGCATATTGCTATTTGATATCTGCTAATGTTGGCCATATTTCACACTGGTGGACGTGAAAAACAAACAAAATGCTTGTGGCAACATTTAATGCACCAACTAATGGCTTCACAACCAAAACAGAGACTAACAAACAGCAGGGACAGCATGAAGAACAATTTTAGAAAAAAATGACCAAAGCCATTTCCATCTTACTATTTTCTGGAAGAAGTCATTAAAATTTGTCACTTCCATTCAATTATTCCTGTGGTCTGAAGAAGAAGAGTTTACAGGGATTATATGTGGAGCTAATAGCTATTTGTTACTTGGTGACATACTCCAAAATATCTTATAGTTTAAGTACTTAAAGCAATTTTGTTTGTTGTTTAGTTGTTTAGTTACAAATGTTTTCATGTTTTTGGGAGAGAGTTTGTTCCCTGTCTTGTAAAAAGATACATTCATATAGTTATGCTGGTTAATTAGATTAAATAAGATTAACTGTTAATAAACAGATGTCTGAAATCACTGCATACTTTCTCTATGTTAAACCAACTGCTGCCGGGGCCTAAACATAACCATAAAAAACTACGAACTGATCTCTTATTGAAGGATTGGATATTGTTACGGTAGGTGAAGGTGTGGACCCAAATGCAAGACAGATTCAGAGTTTGGTGAATTTAAATTGGTTTTATTTCAGATTAGTTGTATATAAATGTAGTTTCTTGGAGAGCCCTTAGTAAGAGTCAAGCTACAAAAGTGCAGGGTTAGAAGGGTTACTTTAAAGATGTAATTCAATATAATTAAATTTGAATTTGAATTATGTTCAAATTTAGTCAGTAACCTAATCCAAGTATCACTATATTAAAGCAATGCAACTTCATAACTTTCCATTACTTTTTAAGATGAGATGTATTTTATAAGACAAGAGAACAATGTGTCCTGGACAAATGGGCAAACAAAGATTTTTAGCATCAAAAATGTTTTCTCTGCTCAGTTTAAAAGAAAAATTTGCTTTTAAAGTAAATTCAGGAATTAGTTTCATAGACCATTTTCAGAGCTGGAAGGCAGAACTTGCACTGTGCTGTGATTTTGTTCCCTTTACTGCATTTAAGACAAACTAAAAGTAAAAACTTGACCCAGTAAAATATTTGTTTTTCCACTAGAGGCCATGGTAATGAATTGACAACTGTAACTGCAGACCAGAGTGGTGTTTTAAAATTGCAGTCCTGCTAATAATGCCTGCCATGTAAATGTGTCTAAATGTAGCTACATATTTTTTTCTTATAACAGTTACTTCCCAAGCCTGCAAAAGTGTGGATCACTTGCCATAATGCAACTCAATAATGTCTCTTTATTAGCCCCTCCCTGCCCATTTCTGTCACACTACATGCCCCTAATTTTGTCTAGTAGCATATAAACATAATTGAAGATGATGAAAGATTATAGATTTAAATACAAATGTAGTGTGCACACAGACATACATCTACATGCAACCTGATTTGCTCTTATTGCTTAAATTAATTCCAGTTGCATAAGAACTCTTGCATGTGTGTGTGTCAGTCTGGGATCTACTGATCCAGACGACATTAAAATCCTCTTCACTTTCAGTCTAGCATGACTCAGATTTTGGCATTCAGATGTGCAAATTAAACTTAATGTTTTAGTTAAAATGTCAACTTTCACACTTAATCTGCTCTGTGCACTGCTGCCCCCTGCTGGGAAGGTCAACAAAATATACCACTGTTTTTTTTACAGAGCACATTTGATTACATTGAAACTCAATGTCCTTTAAATTAAAATACATAATATAAAAAATACAAGCATAAACATGAGACATTGTATTAAAAAACACCACCGTCAGCATAATGGAACAGAAACTCAGTTGAACAGAAACCCCCACCCCATCCCAGACACATTACACACATATATATAGTGGCTAATCATACACCTGCATGAATAGTAGACCTGCTCCTGTATGTAGAGCTGTATTGTGACGGACCTCAAGATAGCAAGCAGCTTGTTCCAGAGAGCAGGACCACAAAACTGAAGGCACCATCACTGTACCTGCTTCTAATTCTGGGCACAGTCCAAAATAAAAGGGCATACTGTCAGGAGAAGCTTGATGCACTGAGCAATTTGGTATATTTTTTTGGAATGTGTAAGGTTATCATTTTATAAAGGTAAAATTGTTTAAAGCTGGTCTGAATGGTGGGGGTGAAAAGCCTGTTGCAAGACTCAGTGATCTTTAAAATGGGGATAGCGGACTCTACTCAAAGACATTTGTGGCGTTGCACTCAGATGTGCACACAAAAAGTGTCAGTAGTTGTGTGTAAAATCAAACCCTGCCCATGTTCACACATCCACACACCTGGCCAATCATTGCATGAAATGGGTGTGAATGTTGAGTTTTGAAAAGTTACAAAAATTGTCCTCCCAAGTTATATGTCAGAGTGGGTGGGACGGGTTTCGGATGCTTTATAAGGATCCCACAATCACTTTGTTTGAAGAAAACTGATGCTTTAGCTGGCAACAGTCCTTTTCCACTATTGTGCACAGTATGTGGTGTTGTGTGTTGACGACCAGTTGTGTGGAACTGACACAGGCCCCTTGTCAGTTCCACATATTAGACAAAGATAACCTGAAAAAGCAGTTTTTAAATGATTTCATTTTGAAAAAAGCTATCCAAACCTACCTGGCCCTATGTGAAAAAGTAATTGCCCCCCCTTGTTAAATCATGAATTAACTGTGATTAACCAAATTTTTTGGAAAGCTGAGTTCAATTTCACTAGCCACAACCAGGCCTGATTACTGCCAGACATGTTGAATCAAGAAATCACTTAAATAGAACCTGTCTGACAAAGTGAAGTAGGCTAAAAGATCTAAAAAAGCAACACATAATGCCGTGATGTAAGAAATTCAAGAACAGATGAGAAACAAAATCATTGACATCTATCAGTCTGGAAAGGGTTATAAAGCCATTTCCAAAGCTTTGGGAATCCAGCGAACCACAGTGAGAGCCATTATCCACAAATGGAGAAAACTTGGAACAGTGGTGAACCTTCCCAGGGGTGGCCGGCCTACCAAAATTACTCCAAGAGTGCATCGACGACTCATCCAAGAGGTCACAAAAGAACCAAGAACTGCAGGCCTCACTTGCCTCAGTTAAGGTCAGCGTTCATGCCTCCACCATCAGGAAAAGACTGGGCAAAAATGGTGGTTGGGTTGGATGGGCGAGTTCCAAGGCGAAAACCACTGCTGACCAAAAAGAACAAACAACAAACAAAAAGACCTTAAACAGGCTGTCAATGCTCGAAAACCCTCCAATGTGGCTGAGAACAACGCCCTAAGTGTGTAAGTGTGTGTACAACTGCAAAGAAGAGTGAGCCAAAATTCCTCCATAGCGATGTGAAAGACTCATTGCCAGTTATCGCAAGTAAATTAAAGTTTAAGTGTGACAAATATGCAAATAAATAAGAAATCAGAAAGGGGGCAAATACTTTTTCACAGCACTGTATATTAATACATCAAAACAAAAAAGTCACACAAACAAACTAATGGAGGCAGCGGTAGAGCTGCAAGTCCAAATTAATTTGTTGTGGGCTTTGAAGAGAGATTTGAAGATTGGTTGATGCCTTTATGCGAAATCTCAGAAAAATGTACCTCCATCTAAAAAACTACTTTCTCGCTGCGTGATATTTGCTTTCTGTGTTAAAGTACTCATGACAAATTCATCGGCAGAGAAAAGTGTGTAAGTGTGTGTAAAAAATTTTTTTTTATTGAATGACATGTTATCCAAGAATGTACAAGAACTTGTTCAGATCAAAGAGTAAAATAAAAAAGCACCAAACCAAAAAGAAATTTAAAAAAAGAGGTTATGAATCTGCCCAGATCTACGATGTCAGATTTTAGTACTTCAGAATCAGAATCAGAAATACTTTAATAATCCCCGTGGGGAAATTACTGTAAGTTACTGTAAGCAATATATAAGTCTTAAATAGTGCTAAAATCAATCTGTCAGCCATCACTGATATAGAGTGTTCAGTCAGTAACATGGCTCTCCCAGTCCCTCCTTTCTGAATACATTTCCTGGCACCAGAATTTCAGTGTGGTGATGCGGGGAAGAGGAAGAGGACTGTTAAATGCAAGAATGGACAGGAAGTTAGGTAAAATACAGATTTTTCTTTACAGCACCTTTAACAATTTGCAATAGTCAGTGCCAGTAATGGTTGAGGTCTGGATCACTGACATATATAAAGATGGATGACATGGCAGCTCTCCAAAAAGGTCAGCCAAAAGATCTTGACGCCTCCTGGTGGCTGACTGCAGTATAGGCCATAAAACCCACAGCCTTAATGTTAACAGATGGGACAAATTAAAAAATCAAAGAACACGTCAAATAAGTCCGCTTTTAGGTAGTTTCTAATCATGTTGAAATATATATGTTATTCATTCTTTCGTTGTTTGGTTTTAATTAGTTATTTGCTTATAGCTATGAAAGGTAATCATAAAACCTACATGCCCAGCTGTCTCCACAGCAGTGAGCGAACGCTCCATCTACTGAAAACTGTTAGATCTTTTCCCTCTCATCCCTGTGGTTTCCTTTGATATGAAGCATCACACACTGCTTGGTGAACAAGAGTGCAGAGCATGCTCAAGCTCCAAACAGGAACTGGCATTGCCATTTGGAAGCTCCACATGTAAAATTGACCCACATAGAGAAAGATCTTTGATCTCTGTCCTCTCTTCAGGCTACAGTTGGTCTGATCCGGAACCTGGCGCTGTGTCCGGCCAATCAGGCGCCGCTAAGGGAGGCTGGTGCCATTCCACGATTAGTCAACCTGCTGCTGAAGGCTCACCAGGACACCCAGAGACACGCCTCCTCCGCACAGCAGACATACCAGGTCTGGATCATGCACTCATGTACACACACACACACACATAGTTACAACACGAAATCTTAAAGCTTGACTGATTCATCTTGTCACTGTCTTAATTATTAGCTTTTAGCACTGGAGAGCCCATTACTCAACTCAACAACATTCAACTGTCAGCTCAGCTGTGTTATTGTACTTCCTGGTTAGCCACAGGAAGTAATAGAATGCCACACAAACAAGATTTCAGATATGATGCTGCCTATACTGTTTAGACCTAGTTTTGCATAGAGCTGAACAGTTTGCTCTAGCGACATACCTACTGAACTGAAGACTGAATGTCTGAATGTTGGTGGTGATGCATTTGCTTAGCTTAGAACAAACTCAATGCCTGAAATGGGCATGGCTGTACCCACCACTGAGGTCACCAAGGTATTTGTTTCCTGATATTACCTATATTTATGTCTAAAAAATGGCAATTTGATCAAAATGGTAAATGGACTGTACTTTACATGCCACATTCACCCATTCCCAAACATTGATACAGTGAAACAAACAACAAATTAACAAAGAAAGTGTTAATTTAAACCTGAAATTGATATGGGTTAATCAGAAGTTGCAATATTTAATAAACCATTTATTCTACTTTTCTTAACTCCTGGTGGATTTCTGACCATTTATGCCCAGACAATAGAGATGTTGTGTCTTCTCCTCTCCAGATAATATTTTACTGTCAGTAACAACTGAAAGTGTCTCCAAATGTCAGACTTGCCTTGCCTGTAAAAAAAAAAAACAGCTTTAATCTTCTTTTTAACTTCATTTGTGGGCTGTGTCAGGTATTTGGTCAGAAACCAAAGTATTGGACATATTAAAATGTTGACCTGATGATGGCGCTAGAGGAACATTAAAGTTATTACAATTAATCTTGAGGGCAACATGAATGTCTGAACCACATTTCATTACAATCTATCCAATAG